GTGTGCGCACCTGGAGGTTGTTCATGACGGTGGTGATGAGGTTCTCGAGGAAGGAGCCAGTGTCTGGCATGCCCAGCCAGTCGCTCGTGTCGTCCAGGTGGCGCCGCTTGGCCGCGCGCAGGAGCCGCTTGTCCCGCTCCGGGTCGTACGGCCCCTGCAGCACCGGGCCCGCCACCACGTACACGTCCTGTCGACAGCAACGGCGTTCCCAAGTTAATGTAATAACGAAACTTCGAGTTATCGTGGCGTTTTTGCACTTTCATTTTTCTGTCTGTTTGCTGAGTGTACAGTACCTCGATGGTCACGATGACGGACTCGGTGTACAGTCCACTCCATGGTATGTTTAGAGCCACCCGCCCGATGGTACCGGCTTTCACTTCAATGGGTAGGTCGAGTTCGTACTGCAAAGACACGTCACCAACATTATTACGATCACACCTTGATCACGCATCGTCGTGATTATGATAACGTAAACGTAGTAAATCTCACCAGGGCTTCAGGCCGGATACGTAGATTGTGAAGCTGGACGTCGCCACCGAAGATACCCACATTGAGGTTTTCGGTGTCTAGGTCCTGGACGTACTTGCCCAGGAACCGGTTGAGCACCGCGGCGACCACGCCCTCGAACATGGTGCTCTAGTAAGCCAGTGGTGGTCTGGCTGCCGCGCAAGTCTGCAACACCGCGATGAGAGAATGTCGTGACAATGGAAATGCACTTGTTGTGGAGGAACGCGTGGAACACGTCATGTATCGGGCCGGGACCATGGCTATGGAGGACTTGAGAGGGGTTGAACGAGTTTTAGGCTCTCTAACAGATGGCCCAGATGCAGCTCGCAGCCCACCACTCCCCCGCAACGAGCGTGATAGCGTCATGCGATAGTGAATCCGAACGGATTCCGTGGCTTGGATAGTGGTATCATCTGGTTCGTGCTCGATGTAGGCGGGGTGGTTACGCTTGTGGATGTAATGTAATACAACGCCGCTAATCATTTTGTAATCATCCTCAATGTGCCAACATTAATACTTTAATTGTTCCTGTATGCACTCTTCACGACATGGCGAAAGCCCTGCTGTACTAAAGCAAGGCGTCCAATTCCAGCATAGGCCGCGGACACCGAACAGCTCGGAACAGCTGCTCTGGCGGAGCCCCACCCCCGCGAGCTGCAAGCCCCGCAGAGGGGTGGTCGGACGGCGGGGTAGCGGGGGCTGGGGAAGGCTGGCCCGGCGGCACGGGCGGGGCCGCGCAACGAAAGCCGGTCCGACGGTCGGATCGATGTGCTCGGGAAGCTTCGTGGCCCCCGCGCTCTCGCTGCTCACGAGGACGAGGGGTGGGGGCGGAGCGGGCTGGAGAGAGGAGACACACCAGGGTGAGGTTATGCGGGCCCCGCTGCGGCCGCTTGCGGCGGGGCCGCGACGTGGCCGGGGCGAGCGCAGCGGCCTCTCCCGTGCTCCCTCCCGCCCTGGATGTCGTGGTGGAATCACCCCCGGACATCACGTTTTTGGCCCGTTTCTTTGGTTGAAAGCCGTACACTTGCTTTCTGACCGGTGGCAGGGATGGCACCCCACTAAATCTTCAGAAACCTTTACTATCTACGTGAGGGAAGGGCGAGGGACATCGCCCCCCTCGCCCTTCAGGCCGGCTGCGTCATGTGAATGGTGCCGGAACCGAGTCCTGGATCACGCCAAAGCTTTTCAGTCGTACGATAAGCGTGCGTCCACATGAAAATGTACCCCGACCAGTCATAAGTCATGTGGGAACGGCGCCGTCCTGCTGTAGCGCCCCCCGAGGCGCCACTGTCCTAACCTAATTCCGGCCGGGACCAGGGCAATCAGCTGACGGGAGGGCCGGGCCGTGGCGGGGCCAGGCGAGGCGGCCCATGCAGGCTCAAGTTCAGAGCGCATGGCGGCGGGGCGCTCGGGTGGGCAGCTGTCATTTGCTGTCGCGCCCCGTCTCCACGTCGTGGGCTCGCCTTCGCTGACGTCACTCAGTAGGGGGCGGAGGCGGGGGCGGGCGCGGGGCGGGGGCGGCCATATGGTCCTTGTCAGATCCTGCTACTCACCGAGACGTCGCCACCTCACGGCACAGCCATCAGCGGCCGCTGCAGCCCGGACCCCGCGGGCCCGCTGACTGCGGGGCTCCTCACGGCCGACAGCATCGCCACCCTCTCTCACGTCATGGTGAAGATGGCCGTCGGGGAGTACTGCTCGGTGGTCACGGAGCTGGCGCGGTCCCGGACACCCTCTCTCTCCCTCTGCACTGCTCGGCACTGGTGCGAGTTCCACCGCCCTCTGCCAACCCCCGTGCCAACCCCTCCGCCACCACCGCCCCGTCGCGCTTGTGGCGCTACCCCCGTAGCGCGCGGCGCCATCTAGTGGAGGGCTGCCCGCCTGCTCGGCTCGGGGGTGGGCGCCAGCCCCCCGCGCCCCGCCCCGCGCACCATGTTCCACTCCACCACCCGCCCTTGTGGCCTGCCGGCCTGGACCTCCACACCGGGCCACAGCTTGACCTCTCTCCACTCTGCCCCTGGCAGCCTCTGGTGAAGAGGGCTCTCTTGAGGCTATTTTGCAGGGTCGGATCCAGGCCGGGCTAGAAATGAGAGGGGTGGGGAGGGGCGCTGCGGTGAATACCTAATTTTGGGTGAAGCACTGCACTTCCACCCATTCATCGGGCGGCCTTTATGCTACTGACAGCCACGTTAAACTTCGTGAGGTTTCAGAAAATGGTTGAAGCTGCGTAGACGGGCGTTGTAGGGGCCCACCCCCTTCCGAGAGTACCCCCCCC